GACACCCACTAATAAGGGACTCGGCGTTATATCCTCAGTGTGCCACGCTGGGGGACAAAGGGACACTGTCTGTGCTCATAATCCCTCATTTGAAACTTAATGAACAAATGGCAGGCTACAGACGCGATGGCTATGAAACCTCTTATATTGGGCAAGAAGTGCTTTCCCGCTGAGTGCTTTCTGGTTAATGATTTGGTTTCAAATTTGAGCAAGTCTTTGTTGCTGTGCAGTGGTTCTGGGCAAACTAGTTTCGGAGGAGGGATAGACCTTTTGAAGGATGCTTCACGCCTACATTATGGAAATACTTATTTTTCTTAATTCTGTCCAAGGCAGTATCATGAAATTGTGCAGATTAGTGATGCAAAAGATCTTTTTGATCGTCTGTTGAACTGCTGAGTCCCTACAGGGTGGTTGTTTTCATTAACCAACTTTGGTTTACGTTTCTGCAATTCAGATTGAAGTAAAAAGTTAATAATACCCGTACAGCGCAAAATAAGAGGGAAAGTAATTCTCTCCAGGTAATTAAAAATTGAGCTTTTCTTACAAAACAAGATATTCTGTATCCTGTGAACCTAAAAGCCTGACTTGGTTTCCTACTCGCTTGCATTCCCAGTTGCTCTGCGTGGGGCAGTGCTCATGCATTTTCTGCAGATAATACTGGGTTACTCGCAGCCAATATTATGTACAGGCTGATGGGCTTGCCAGTAAATATATTGAGATTTGCCAGTCAGCTGCTCTCAAACAGAATTTGCAATGCCCTTTTTCTCAGTGGAGGCACTAGTTTGAGTTTTTCCTTTGAAAATTCCCCGTTCGCCAGTGATTGAGGGGTTTGGATAGCTGGGAGAGGCTGCACAAGTGTAAAAAGCTTCATTTTCTCAATAAGCTGTCCCAGAAAATAGCATTTTTTCCTTTGCCAAGAAAAAAAAAAAAAGTAGTTCTCATGAAACCAATCTATTTCAACATTATAACCTTTATCCCCCAAATCAAGATGCACAGTTTTTGCCAAAACCCTGCTCATTACACAGGATTTTCATTTTTTTTTTTTTCTCTGAAGGGCTTATGCTTGAGTTTTTATATGCAAAGGTGGTGGGTGAATACCCAAGAAGGTGGGGGTGGGGATGTACACAGGGTCCCCTAACTGGCCTGGGGTGCTCATGTCCTGTCCCCAGGACTGGTGGGTGAGGATGGAGTCAACCCCTGCTGATGGGGGGCAAGGCACCTTCCCTGGGGAGAGCTGGAGGAGACCCTGGGGTGCAGTTCAGATAGTTGAGTGTTTTTCAGTAAAACCCTGAAAACCAAGTCTGGCATCCATCGCCTGGGTGATAGCTCTCCCTGACGTTCTCAGGATGATAATGAAGGCATTTTTACTTCTTAAAATGGCATTTTGGGAAGCACTGGCGTTATCAAAGATTTCAGTACGTTGGTGGTGTCGAGGCGCTGGTGGAAGCACTGAAATGGTGATATTAAGAAAGCACTTGCAAAACAAAACCTCTTGCTTTTGCGACTAAGAAGAACTGAGGCCAGCTCTTGATGCCACTCATTATTAAACGCTTTCTTTAGTAAATGGGCTGGAATACAAACATAGTCATTCATCTCCCTCTGAACTGCTAATGCTTTTGACATATTTTTTGAAGTTCCCATCGTGAGCTGTAGCCTTTGGACTCCCTGTGGTTTGCTGGCAATGTCCAGACCTGTAACTTTATTTTTCCTTCTTGTAGTGAGTATTGAAAATCAGTGAGAAAAGGTTGCTTGGTATTAGGATTATCTTGAGCTTTGGTTTCTCTGCACTCCAGTTTCTGTTCAAAGTCATTCTCACACTTGCAAATCCAGTGACCTGTCATTTAATGCTGTGTTTGATGGAGAAATGCCCCACTGGATCTCGTAGGAGTCAATAGCCTTAGTCCAGATGCTGGTGATGGGAGGGAGGTTGTGGCATGAGGCAGCACATGAATGTTGTGACCTCACTTGATGAGAAATATATCCAAAAAAAGTCATGTTTCTGTGAAAATAATAAGTAGAGAATAATGTTTTAGGTGAAGGATTAAAGGAATTTGATTTATTCAGGATTTCTTCTGTGTATGTGTGAAAAGGGTAAGAGCATGTTTTACTGCAGACTGGTAGATCTGCAAGGAATAAAGATTTTCAGTCATAATATATCTAATTAATGTCACTGATTTATCATCTTGATGTGAGTTAAGTGTCCTTTACAGATCGCATATAAATATATATCTCATATATATGTATACTTGATGTGAGTTAAGTGTCCTTTACAGATCATATATATATATATATATCATATATATGTATATTTTTTTATATATATGATAGGCAAACTAAGTATTGTATTATATATGACCATGTAGTGAGCTTAGACATCCAAAGCCCAGGTTGGCACCCTGCTCTTTATTGCTCCATAATAATAATGCTCCATTACTGTGTGTATATATAGGAATATTCTTTTGGTATTAATCTCTTCAGACTTCCAAGACTAGTCATCATACCTCATTTCATTAACAACAAGTAATCATAACATAAGGCTGTAGTTTAATACATTACTGTGAATTGTTATTTTTTGACTGTTTCTACGTAGGTGGTCGTCCAGTTCCCTGCTGAGCTGTCCAAATTAGCGATCTGGATGTATTAAACATCATTTACTTGTTTTTGAGCAAGATATGAGACAAAATCTCTTTTCTTTCTATTTCCAGTGATAAAAATAATTGGGTGTAGATGAATTGTCAGATCTGTGTGACTCGGGGTTTTTTTCTGTCTTCAAGTCTGCCACTTTCACCCATCTGCAACCCATTGCTTATTTGAAAAGAGGGCTAAAAATACTTGCAGGCATTATCTCCACAGTTAGTTGCAGAGAGACAGCAATTTGTTGACGTACCAAAGGCAGGTGCACGCTGACATCCGCTAGAGAATTTAGAATAATCAAAAATAATTTTCTGCTTGAAAATTTAATTCAAAATAAAAGGTGCCACATCTCATAAATTGGTAGAGGGTCTTCTGGTGAGTCCTGAGATCTCCCTGTGAAAGGAGAGATGAAGGGTCATCTCTGTAGTAGAGATTTGCAGCCTGGATACGTTCAGTGTAGAAAAATGTACATTTTAAAGGTCTTTTCATATTGGTCTAAGAGAAATTCCATTAGAGACCATCATAGCCTAGTACATACTTGTTGGAAGTGATCGTACTTGGGCAGTGATAGTTACATGCTACATGGAGCCTCCTAGAAAGTGAGTGCAGATGTAGGTGATACAATGCTGGTAACTGAAAAAAAAACCAACAAAAAACAAAGCTAAAAAATAAAAGCCTGAGATTGCTATGACAGTCAAAGACAGCAATGAGCTGAGTTTGGGAATGTATTTTAGAAATATTTAAAATTCAATTTTCTCAGCTGTAGTGGAAGACAGAAATTAAAATCTTTCTTGGCCAAGTTCAGCTGACTTCTTTTAGAAGAAGATTTCATTGAGAAAAGGGCAGAAGGACAAGCCAAGATATTTTAAGATCAGACTTTGCAAGTACCACATATAGGAAAATATAGTGCTAAATGCTTTGCCCTTGACAAATGTGGCTCTGCTGCCATATGATCCATATTTCCAGCTCTAGGATGTATCGCCCTGAAAATTGCAAAACTAAGTATTAAGAAATATGCCTTGAAATTGTGCCAGCTAAGTTCCTTAAAAGGATCTGAGAAAGGATGACTCACTACTTAAATGGCCATTCATTGCATCTGCAGAGCAGATTTCAGGTTAAATTCTCCGAAATAGTCATGTTTCCTTGTAGAAGCTCCTCTGTGTTGCAGAGCCAGTGCTGCAGCAGCAGCCCATTGCTGAGATCTTGGTGAGGTGGGAGGAAGGGAGGTGGCATCAACCTGGAATAGAGAAGGGGTCCAACAGAGGCATCTCCAGCCATCCTGAGCAGCGAGAAGGAGCACCAAGGCTACCCCTAAGAAGGTTTGAATTCTCTGAGTTGATGGAAAGCTGATCTAAAGAAGGGTTTGGGTGTCAAATGGCTCGTTAACCACAGGGGTCACCAGAAAGAGCATATGTAAAATATTGTCTTCTTGTCCCAGGGTGTTGTTTATGGCGTGTGAGGCAGGGCTTGGGCATCGCAGTGATATATCTGACCAGTCTGTGACCTGTTGAGGCATGGACTGCAGTTGGTATTTCATATCTATGTTCATCTCTCCATCTTCCTTTGCTCTCCTTGCTGTTTTGTATCACAAAGCCTTCTTTAAAGCACATCTTAGTATAAGATCAGGGTGTTTTTTTCTATTTAGTCAATATTTCTGAATTGCTACCTTAGCCTAGATATTTTGTGTTGGGTTTTTTTTATTATTATTATTTTTCTTTCTTTCTTTTTCTTCTCTCTCTCAATAAAACCTGCTTTTTCAATCTCTTTCTGCTGTTTTCCTGCAAGTGGTGAGCTCCTAGGGCACAGCTACGCCTGACATCCCTTCCTAGCTCAATATGCTGATGGGGCAGAGCTGAAGTGACAAATGTTGAGCTAGTGCAGAGCTGAGACATTGAAGCTTATTCTCAAGTGACCAGTGCTTTTTGCTTGTTAAAACACATCTAAAATAACCTTTACTCGAGCAGTTCCTTCTAAGATTTCTGTCGTCTTGGTCATATAGCAATTTGACTTTTGCAAGTTGTTTGCTGACTAAATACACCAGATTTTCCTTACAAAGTACATTTCTGGCGTGGAGTGCTTTAGTTTTGATGAATGTAAATTCAGGTGCTCTGTAGGAGCTTAGAAAACACTAACACTGAAAATCGGATCCCTTTAAGCATTTATCAGATATTTAGAGTATCCTCCTACAACCATTTGCAACCTTGAACAGTCTCAGCTGGCACAGGGTAGGTAAAGCCACCAGCAACGTGCAGCCTAATGAGCTCCGTGTTTAGCTGCTGTGGTACGTGCCAGGTTTTGACTGACAGCCTTTTTTGCCTCCTCCTGAGTGGAACCAGCTTCTTTCTGTCTTTTCAATAAACGGAGAGAGCTGTGCATCAAGGCAGTGACTTTCATCGTTATTTCTTATAACTTCTGATCCATATTTGAGGAACCTTTACTGAATTTTTCTATTTGACTGGGTGCACTGATATATTTTTGCTCCCTGTGTTCAATTATTCACTTTTTTTCTTTGAACCTTGAGAGAAAAATAAACCAGGAAGAATCCAGTTATATGGGCTTCCAGATTCATCAAAACTGTGCTATAATCCCTTTTAATTCCTTATGGAGGAGGGATCCAAACTCTGCTGAAGTCAACGTGAATCTCTTGCTAACTCTTGTGTTACCTTACTGGTTATTCTACCTTTGGCTCTATAAGGATGGTAAGTAAATGTCAATTATTTTTTCAGACAGAGGTGCTTGTAGAGACACCACACTTAACGGGACTCTGTCCTGGGCTGTTGTCATGAAAGCTCAGAATAAAGACACTTAAGTAAAATATACACATTTTATTGCTATTACTGGAAAATTCTCATGTGAAGAAGTTTATGTGGGACAGGTGAAGAGGAGAAGGAAGGAAGAATGAGAAAGGAAAGTAATTCATTGTTTAGTGGTGGTTTAAACGGGGGAGGGCAGAAAAAAGCACCTGAAAAGAAAAAAGAACTGTTATTTTCTCATAACATCAAAATGCAAGTTCAGGTTGACATACCATCATCTAAATCCCAACAAATTTGGATGATCTCTTTTCTTCTCTAGCATGTTTTGTGGAAGCCAGTACAGATAAAGTCCTCACTTCATCTGATCTGAGGCAGAGGGACAAAATCTTTGGGTACATCCCAGCGTATTTTTGGGGTTGCAATAAGAGGGTGTGATGGGGAAAATGGACGTGTCTGTTGATGAATATTATACATGTTGCCATGAGTGTCGTTACATACTACTCGTGTATGAAACTGCGTGGAAAATAGAATAAGTTTTCTTTCTATCTGCTGTTAGGTGTGATTAAATAGAAGAATGATTTATTTTACAAAGATTGCATAATGGCCTTGTTTGCCCCGAATTTGGGAAAGAAGGGGAATATTCTATTCACCAATTACAGAATTGATTGAAATGCTAGGTGTTGATTTCTTTTGTCTCTGTTAAAGTTTCTTGTATTCTTATCTGTCTCCACCCTGAAATCCAGCTCTTCATGTGGAGCATGTCTGTGTATGTTCCACAGGTGTGTGTTTTGCAGTAGTAAACCAATATTTTCCTTTACGAAGTACAAGCTGAGCAATTTTGCCTCAGGTAAATTCTTTCTCCGGGAAAACCCGTTCAATAATGCTTCAAGGCTTGTATCTCAAGATGAAATAGAGATCTGTCTTGCTGGTAAGACGAGAGTAAAATTTCATGTCTGACAGATGAAGGAAAATTAGCAGAAAAAAAATAAAATTAAGGAGGGGCAAAAGCAACCAAATACAATAAACCCCTCAGAATATGTATGCATGGTAAGCTCACTGCTTTTTCATAGCTTTTAATGTGATTTTCTGTCTCCTGTGAACTCTACTGAGCATTTTGGTGACAAGCACTGTTCTGCTGTGTTAGATGTATACATTGAGTAGTAGGAATGGGTACACATTGGTTTTCTTTAGAGGGAAAAGAAACCTTTATGGGAGTGAATTCTCTATTTCTAAGGTAACTGTTGTCTTTTTGAGGTTTGTCTATTAAAGAAGACAGACATTTGAATTTCTTTCTTTTTTTTTTTAATGTAAGGTCAGAGATTTGACTAAGCTGTAAGCTATACACCTGAATTTTTAATTAATTTACTTCTCTGGTTAATGTAAGGTCAGAGATTTGACTAAGCTGGAAGCTACACACCTGAATTTTTAATTAATTTTCTGTTTTGATAGCTTCATTTTTTGTCACTATATGGTATTAAGGAGGTTTGGTCTTCTTCCTAACTCAAAGCTGGATTCTTGGTCTGCTGGAGCTCTGCAGCCAGCACAGGCACCAGGATGGTCCTCACGGCAACGTTAGTCTGGGGTGGTCATGCATCAGCATGTGACCAGCTTATAATTAGTTTGCATTTCTTTACAGCTCCTCTTTTAGGCGAGGGAATTGCATAACTTAACATGAGTAATACTAATTATTTTGGATCTGTCATTGCACAACTGCTGATGAATAATGCAGATACTGCTGTGACGCTAAATGCAGTTCTCGGGGATTTTTTGCCTTTTCCCCTCATCATCTGTCTTGAAGTATTGTGACATCGGATGACACAGATAAACCTGAGTTCTGTAATTAAGTTTTATTTTAATGATCCCAGAAAATATTCAATTTTGCATGTTTAAATGTGGCTTAATGAGTCTCTTAGCCTTCCTGTCTGCTTAATACACTGCTGACATTTCTCCATTTGGATAACAAGATTCAGTAGGATAAAACTATCTTCAAAATGCTCCACACTGGCATATTTAGGTTTTCATATTAATGGAGGTATTTTTGTGCCATTAGATCAGTGATTTTTTTCCATTTATCTGTGGAAGACCAGATCAGGCCTATTGCTAAGCAAATAACAGCAAAAGATGAGGGGGGAATTTCAGTGTCTATGAATTTGATTTTTCTAAAAGAATTCACCTTATTTTCCATGAGTGTTGGTGTGATTAGGATTTTTTTTGCACTGCTGCTTCCAGAAAGTAAGCTTTAAGCCTTCTTGTACAGGGTTTTGCATTTGTTAAAAAAGAAAAAAAAAAATAAAAATCATATTTGATGAAAGCAGCAAGCGAAACCACAGGCTCCTCACCCCCTTGCTGTAAACTGTGCACAGAGCCAATTGAATATGCAGCAATGTAGAAAAAGCTATGGTTGGGTGGGATCTTCTCATTTTTTTTTTCCACAGTATGCCAGTGGAGCTGCTGGCTGCCTTGCTAAAGAAAGGTTGTGTGTGTTGGGTGAAGAATTTGTGTATATTCAGTTGTCCGAGCTGATGTCTGAGTTACAAGAGCTCAAAAATGGGATATTTCTAGAGTGAAGTCAATCCCCTTTAGGCATAGAAACTTATGAATTTAACACATTGGGTTTTTTCTCCCTCCCCCTCTCTCTTTTTCCCCCCCTGTGGCTGTTTAATATTAAAAATGTCACATCTTTTGGTAGTAAGGTCAGCAGGGATGCTCCTGCTGGAGAGGAGAGCTGGATGTTCATTATCCGTGGTACAGGATTCCAAAGCCCCTCGCCTTTGAAGTGACTACAGTAGCCAGAGTGGTGGCTGTACCATCACACCTCAACACGTGCTCTCAGGGGGTTTTGGGCTCTCCATGGGTGTGGACAGGCCCTATTGACTGTCTCTTGACTGCAGAAGATGCCCCAGATTTGCTCTGGGAGTATGGAAAGCTTTAGCCTTAACTTTCAGAGTTGGCTCCTGTAAAAGGAGCATAGACTGATGGCCAACTTTTTCCCAGATGGGAAGGTTTGAAGGATGCTCCTGGACTCCAGAAAGGTGATTTTATTCAGCCCTAGACTTGGAAATAAATCTGAATATATTTTCATTTTATCTAGCTATGTCAGACTGCTTGGAAGTATGAACGATACATTTTCAGCCACAGTTTTCTTCCTCGGTTACAGTTGGAAAGATTATGGGGAAGGACTAGGAAAAAATCAGCTGTTTGATGATTCTTGCTATGGAAGAGTCCTTTGAAGTTTAGCAACTTCCCAAGTCACAAGTCTTTCAGGGGTGATGTGTATTGCAGTACAAACCAAGGTGGTATTTCCAGAAAATTAGCGAATTCAAGACGTGTATTAGCTCTATGGCTTGAATTCAAAGATCTTCAAATGAGAAAGAAAGTGTTCAATTTTCCCAGTAGAAACATTTATAATGGGAAGAAACAGTTTGAAAGATTAGCCTTTAATTTCTAGCCTAAGGCCAAACAGTGCAACCACATATAGATATATCGGATGTATTCTTTCTATAGAATGGTAGAAAAATCTGTTATGAAGCATCAGTTACCAGTATAACATTATGATTTTTAGGTATGTAATTACAATCATGCAGTATTTAGCCAGTGTGAATACTTACATTCCAGTGATTTGTTATCAAATTGGACATGGGGTTTAATTTAGATTAGATTCAGAAACTTTGTGTTTGAAAATTGCACTGTACTTTATGCCTTGCAGGCATAAAGTGCAGAGGAGAAACATGAGAAAATGGAGAGGAAATAAACACCCCATTTTGAGAGACAATGATATACTTATTTTTCTTTTTTAATTTACAATAAAAGTCCATGTATAATAATGGAAACAAATCAGTTTGACGTAAATCCATTGCAAACCAGAGGTGCACTGTGTATATCAGATGGGAAGATTAAGTACTTTAACCAGAGTCCTGTGGAAGTTGTTTTTTGGAATTGATTATTGTGAGACTGAGCCTAAGTAACAAGCATGAAATATTAATTAGGCTACTGGTATATTATGAAATAAAGGTGTTTTAGCATTAAGAAATGAAATTGAACCAGATTTAGAAGAAACATTTCCAACTATGTTGTGCAATAGGCTAAAGCAAATATTGACTCACTAGTACATTAATGCAAATAAATTAAATTATTAGGGATTAGTGACCAGTTTAGTCTGTAGAGAATCCAAAGCAGAAAGCTGTAACCCTTTCACCAGGCTTCCTTGACTCTTATCTTTGGCTGTAGCAGCAGCAGCCATGTATGACTTCTACACGGCAGCACTAGTATTCTCCAGGGAGGTCTTTGGTCAAATTAGTCCATAATCTTTCATAACGCGCTCTCCAGAGGGTCTTATTACTAACTGATCTTGATAAGTAATAGTATATGCAAAGTAGATCTGCAACTCGTAGATCCTGTCATGTAATAAATGATTGAAGTATAGCGGGGAAGTGCGCCGCAGTAAAATCTCTATTAGCTGAACCCAAGTGAGTAAAATTGCTATATACTGAGATCTAGATGTATCTCCCAGGCTTGCTTATCCACACTGCCCCGGGTTTTCAGCAAGTCAGGATCATTCTCCAGTGACGTGTCAGTTTTGTTGCCTGGGTCCTGGTGGAATGAGAAGAGGGAAAAGCACCAGAGGAGTAAGAAATAGTGAGTGGTTTTGCTCCCTTTGGCAGTTGTGCCATAGAGGTGGGACATCGGACTGAGTCTGGTGTCAGTGTGACCTTATCATGTCTGTTAGACCATGTGGGGAGGAAGAAAGAAGGATTCTCTGGAGAATCTCTGGGGTTTTTTTCATTGTCACTGATTCCTCGGTTGGTTTTTATTGCACATACCTTGTAGCTCCTGCCAATCACCCCCAGACTGGAGCCGTGCCTGGAACTCCTCTGTGTACCCTGAGTTTCTCCAGTTTCTTGGCTTTTACAGCAACAGTGAGTGTCAGGTACCCAAGTGGCAGTCAC